GACCGGAGATCGGTATAGTTGCTTTAGTGACCAGGTATTGGAAGCGAGTCGGGAAAGGCGAGGCTGGTGATCATCTGACCAAAGGGTTGGAGCGGCACGCTTGGACCCAGGAGGAACGACCAGGAGGAGCGACGTCACCGTTGGCGCCGTAACCAAAGGATCCGACACTGGGCCAGGTGTGTAACCGTCACAAGTGGCGCCGTGACCAGGATCAACCCTGAGACAACCGTCACAAGTGGTGCCGTGACCAACGGATCAACCCTGAGACAGCCACGTCACATATTTCTCTTTTTCATTTAGGTATTTCGGACTACATATTGTAAGTGATCTGAGGTAGAATCTCATGATTAGTCCAGATTTTATTTTTGGTTTGTGGAAGTTATCGTGAACCCACAATTAAAAACGAGCTAATCAACATCCAGCCATTGTCATCGACACCATATGGCGACAGTCTGTTTCACGCTTGAAAATTATCTTCAGACCATGTGTTGTGTTTTTGCTCGGATTTCTCTATACGCTGTTCAATGGTACAGTATAGGTAGTAAGGTATTATTCTATTTAACTATAACAACAGTTTTCTATTTCTGACTAATTTGCTTAGCTTTTGTAAAACATTTTCCGCTATGACAATGCGACTTCGGATTTCAGAGTCAGATTTTCCGTCCCCTGTTAAACGCTTCCCGGATATTTCAGTTATTACACTTGTTTGATTTTGGTAACCTCAATTTGTAATTTTCAGGTTGAGTTGTTCTATTTGCTGACGACAATGCATTCTGTCGTCTTTCAATTGATGTTTAGTCCTTTCTTCTCGCTTTCCTTCTCATTTTCCTTTACTACATTCTGCAATAGTTTTTTTTTAGTTTGCTGTCTGACTACTAGCAACACTGAGTCATCTGCATATCTTATGTTATTAAGATTATTTATATCAGTAATGAACCCCGGTAAAACATTTAATTCTCTGAGAATCACTTCACTGTACTGGTTGAATATTTCAGGTGAGGAGACACACAAATGTCATACACACATTTCAATCTTTGTATATTTACTGAACTTATTTTCTATTTCTATTGTCAATCTTTACTCTCTTCTGTATTAAATAATTTATTCTGAGTAATCTAGGCAGATTAACGATATGGATTATGTACTTATCATCTCCTGATCGAAAGCTATGCATTAAAAGAGTTGCCCTTGCTTTGCCCTGTAGTTGGTCGTGGCTATTGAAAATGAGTTCTTTATCAGTTCTTTAACCTCGTTTTTCAAATCGACACGTCGAAAGACCACCCGTCGCCTCAATTAATTTTCATTTCGATTTTGCTATCGATTACACTTTGCAACTGAACGATTGTCACGTTTCAGAAATTATGCAACTCTCCCCCTCTCCACTGCCCGGTCGCGTTTGGCAGCAAAGAATAAAAATAAAATAACTTGCTTTCTCTGTTCTTTTTATCTATATTATTTTTGTCTTCTTGTCAGAACTGAATTAAAACTAATTTGATATCGTTTGTTTTAATCATATCCGTCTTTACAATCTACGAATATTTGGTCGTGTATCTTTTAAATATTTACATTGATTCAAGTACGCGCAAAAAACACTCACTCACACACAAATACACAGATAGATATATAGATAGACTGTTAGCTAGCGGGAGAGATATTGAACAGACTGCAATAGATAGATAGATAGATAGATAGATAGATAGATAGATAGATAGATAGATGATTTTTGTCATTATTTTTGCTCTAAACAATTCTCAAGAGCCACTCAATGTTGAGGTTTACATAGATAAGACGTAGAGTTTGGAATTATATATTATGAAAAATATAGGATAGATAAATTGTAAGCCTAGACTTGAAGACTATTTTTGGGGTATCATCCTCTCGAAAGTTTCTTCCACAAAGTGAGAGTTCTAGAGAAGATGATTTATGAGCGAAACTTCCTCCTTACCAAAGAAATATACAAGAAATTAGGATGAGTTGAAGTCGAATACGATGCCTTGCACGCCCTAAGTGTGAAAAGCAGAACTAATGGACCCGTGGAACGTGGCTCTTTTGAACATTTACTATAGAAATAGCAATAGAATAGCTTGTAACGTTTGCTATAGAATATTTTGAAATTGTTGCAGTGGAATACCTTGCAATGTTTGCACTAAAATAGTTTGCAACGTTTCTTCTAGAGAAATAGCAATAGAATAACCCGGGGTTTGCATCATTTTTTCTGTGCAAAAATTTTTCACGGAGTAACATTTACCCAAGAAATACCAATAAAATAGCTTGTAACATCAGCAACAAAATACTTTGCAACGATTGCAATAAAAATACCTTCCAATGTTTGCAATAAAAATACCTTCCAATGTTTGCAATAGAATAGTTTGCAAAGTTTCTTCTATAGAAATAGCAACACAATTGTCAGAGTCTTGCATCATTTCTTCTATAGAAAAAAAAATTTCACAGAGTAAAATAATTCATCGCTCGCAAACCGCGTAATCGCTTTTGAACTCTGTCGACAGTGATGGCCTGGCAGCACCAACCAGGATATTCGACTTTTGGTCTGTTCTGACTCTTGTAAAGATAGATTATGTCTAGAGGAAACAGGTATAGTAATTCATGGCTAAAAACGAATTTATAGTTCAGGGGTTGTGTTTACCTCCCTGTGAGATAATTATTTACGACTGAGCATAGAAGACCAAAAATAACGTTGCATAGACTTCACACCTAAAGAAACAGTTTTAACCCTTTATCAGGCTACACTCGAAAAAATATCTGTATAGACATCGCGTAGGAAACCTACATGAGGCGACATATGTTCATTTGGAGCTGTTATTCTTGCAAATAAAATAAAAGATCGAACCCAGTGTCGCATGACACGTGAGTCAATTACTATTGTGTCCATTTCCCAAACGATAGAAAATCAATTGCGTAGCTACACAAAAATAGAAATGGGCGTGAGACAAGGATGTGTCGTTTCCTTAGATTTATTCGACCTCTATCTAAACGCCATCATAAGGCAACTGTAAACATACCTGGAATTACTCCCGTTAGGCATAATCTTAACAATATCTACACAGATCACACTGTGTTGATAGATGATTCAGAAAAAGAAAAAAACTACAGGATCTCCTAGACAGGCTGGTAGAAGTCAGCGAGAAAAAAAAAAGAAAATGACTAACCATCAACTGCAATAAGAGAGAAAGTAATGTCATCAGCAAGAGAAAAATTACAAGATGCAATGTAAAAATTGAAAATATTAACATCAAGCAGGCGTAGAATGTCTGGGAAGCGTTTTAACAGAGGATGGGAAATGTGGCAAAGAAGCAACCAAAAAGCTAACAAGGTGCTGGGAAACGGAAATATTAGAAACAAAGAAAAAATGCAGGCTTTCTATGTTTTATCCATCTTCTCATATTGCTGTGAATGCTGGACAGTCTTCTCAATCGAAAACTAGAGGAAATAGTAATGCGGACAGAAGGATACTGAAAATTCCATGGACGAATATATATGCAACACGGAAGTCTTTTATTAAAATTTTAACAGAAAACTTCTACTGTGAACTAGATAAAGAGACAACTAAATTCCTTTCACACACAATGAGAATGAGGGCTTAAGAAAATAAATCCCCACGCTGGGAATATTGAGGATAAACAGAGTTAGGGCAAGACAGCAAGCGACTTACCTAGCGTGCATGTGTAAATGGAGTGAGCAACGAGTAGAGGGACTTTGGCAAAAAGAGAAAAACTAAGATACACACGATATAGGAGGTTTTGGAGTGCCATGACTGCCTATATCCTAAAGGGATGAGGCACATATATAAATAGGTGCTATTATCCGGATATAGGATGCAGGTTCGAATCCTGTCAAAAGACGAATATTTTCTATGAAAATTTCTCGGACATTCAGGCCGGTAAATCTTATTTAATACTGTTTATTATAAACATAGCATTTACTTAAATACTTGTATCTATAAAAAGAATGTTAAACATAAAAATGTCTTTGATAAATTGTCGGACATTGTCCAATTCTTAATGTATATATATATATATATATATATATATATATATATATATATATATATAATACATTGAATTGTTTGGAAGTTATCGATTATTGTGTTAGCAAGTTCATAAATCAACGTGAGCGAGAGTGTGAAAATACTTGCCTTATTCAAATTGTTGATCACGCCATACTATGCGGTCTCTTCCACAAACTGTAACTAAGGCTCGCTCATCATAATGTCCTCCTGTATAAACCAATGTTTGGTACTGTGGGTTTGAATAAACACAAATGTGCCCGAGTAGGTCTCTGCAACAAGGAAGAGCTAGTTACTCTAAAAGACTGACATAATAGCCTGAAATGAATGAAATCTTATCTTGCTTTTAGAAAAATGTTTTTCCTAACCCAGTTATATCATTATATCACTTTAAAAGAATTGTTTGTTGTGAATAAAAGCAATTAGGTTTTTTTTGTTTTTTTTAATCGAGCTCCATATCAAGTGAAAAAAAATAATTTATTTGCGTTTTTCGTAACAGCCGTTTCTTTCATAGATGAAAAAAAAATGTATAACGGCATTTTTCGCATTCATTACGCTTGGGTCAAATTAACGTGGAATGGATTCATTTTTCTTTAGAAAGGAATGACTAAATACCCAGAGTGTTACTGATTTTTTTTTCTGCAGTTTCTCTGTGGCGCTTAGGGTTGCAATGAAAACATAACTGCTGTTGTGGTTCAGACTAGAACTTCGTAACGCACGTCGAATTTCAAGGTTTGAATTTAGAGTTGACTGCTTATCAACCAAGACAAGCGAGACTAATTCGTCCCTTTATATGACTCAGAGACGAAGATTTGGATACATGGTTTCCCCCAAAGTACTTTTTCGAAGTACACACAAATTAACTCAGCATTAGTTTCAAATCATCTTCCGATATCATTTTCAGCGTGGGTAACTGTCAAACCAAAACACCCAAAGCATATGAACTTAATACTGATTACTAGTTATTTACAGCCATCTAGACTTGAAACACCTGTTCCCGTACGATCACTGGCGTTAAGCAACGTCGAGTCTTGTCGGTACCTTGATGGGTAAACGACTGAGGATACCATGTGCTGCAAGCTTGGAAGTGTTAATCGGAGAGCTGAGTTTAAATTTCTTTTAAGTTAATTATATTCCCTTATGCGCAAATATATTTTGGAAAGGTATGAATCCACTTCTTCCTACCTCCAGATATTGTTAATTAGTAAGTCGCGTGTCATTTTTAAAAAACCTGCTTTAAATAACTTGCAAAAGAAGCCATAGAAAATGATTCAATCAAAATTGAAAGTATACTTGGTTGTCGATGCCTTAACCTGGAAACTTTAACATTATTTGTTCACTAAAGTTAGAGCATCGTTTTGTCTAAGGTTTGGGATTAGGGATATTATTTATCCGTATGATTTACTGATTCTTTTGAGAGTTGTGTTTCAGACGGCGGGACAAATATCGGAAAGCTAAAGGTACAAAAAATAGAAAAAAAATTTGGAGGCAGTTATCGTTCCGTACACAAAGAAAATGGCAGGGAGATAAAGAATGAAAAATAAAGAAAAAAGATCGACATATCAGATCGATATATCAGAGCTATCATCAGATGAATTGAAGAAATATGTGGAGATTATTAGACTGAACATAAAACGATCCAGTACTGTTAGGGGTTACTGTCTCAGTATATATATATATATATATATATATATATATATATATATATATGTGTGTGTGTGTGTGTATAGAAAAATAGAAAAAACGTTTTAGGTAAATGATCCGAAGTTCTTTAGTATTTTTTGTTTTTTTATTTAAAAAAAAAGAAAAACAGCTCTACATTAATAGAGCCTAAATTATAATTAATTTTTACAAATATGATTCCTTTCCTACATAATTCTCATGTTTTAGAAACAAGAACCAAAAACTTCAATATAGTTATTACTATATACATATATATATATATATATATATATATATATATATATATATATATATATATATATATATATATATACAATATGATATGACATATATATGGCCCATTATCTAATTTCTGTGTTTCAACTTTCTTTTCTGTAATAATCCAAATCAGCTCCCCCAGCTAGGGGTTAATCAATAAGAGTTGTATTACTAAAACATATTGTCTAAAAAAAATTTTACAGTGTAAACAAAAATGTATTTTTCTGGCTTTAAATAACCTACAATATGGATGAGAAAATAAATTAATCAATCAATCGTTTTTTGTTTTTTTGTTTTTTTTTTTTCGAAAGAGGATTTGTTGTCACCATCTTAAATAGCAAACTGAATGGTTTGCGCTGATCTAATTTAACTCAGCCAGCGAAACTTATGTGATAAATAAATAGACGGCCATCTGCTTAATAGTTATCTTTCCAAGTCAGGGGCACAGCGATGTTAAGCTTTTAGTGATTGATTGTTCTCTTCTAACGGCAGAAAGACTCTATCGGTTATTTAATGGAGAAAGGGTTTTTCATGAAATCTACGGCTTGTGAAAAATCCTTTGCGTCTCTGGTTCCATCGTTCCCTAGTTATGCTTTTAGAACAGAGTTATTTAGTTGAAGAATTCGTAGAACAGAACAACCTCTGTCAAGTAGGCTAGGATATTCTCTACTTATATCTTTTTGAAAATATATTCTAGTCATCTTCTTTTCCTATTTGCCGGCATTGACGATCATTACTTTCAGCAACTTCCTGTCCTTTGTAGCTCTCAGTAAATTTATTTTTGTCTTTTGGCCATCATTTCCAAACTCTGTCCCCCAGTCATTAACTCAAGCTAACAAACTAGTTTATGTGTTGACTTCGATCTGTCCTGCGAGTAATACTTTTTTTCCTCATTATATACCATAAAATGTTCAACTGTCTCTCCATGATGTTAGGTAGAAATATCCTTTCTGTTTCCATCATCTGTAGACATATGGCGAATTGCATCACAAATCAATCTGCAATAATACAGAGCTTTGATCCGCACCGTGTGCGTTGATATTATGTCAGGCTTCGATAATGATGATAACAACCGATAGTTTTGGGTGGTTCTTCGATAGATTTGAGTTCGATACTTACTGCATGTTCCATACTTGTGACAGCTTTTCCCGAAGTTTAATACATAGCAACATAATGCAATTATTTCGACTTTAGTCTGTCAGATATCAGTAAATATTTTTAATAAAGTATATTCAAAGCAAGACAATAAATCCACTAAAACACCAGAGGTTAAAGGGTGTGGAAGAACAAGAAAACAGAAACATTACTGTGGAGTGAGAACAAAAGATGAGTAATCAAGAGGGCAGTAGAGAGCGATTGACACTGCTTTTAAATTTTTGAAGTTGACTGGAATACATTGAGCAGAAAGAGAGTGTCACAAACGAGAAGTGCGAGAAAAGAAATCATTAGCATAGAACTAACGGTTAAATCTAGCCAACTCATCGCTAAATTGGTGAGATCTGATTGCCAGTCTAATACAGCGCTTAAATTTAAAAACAACGGTTCAATATAATCTTTCCATTTCATGTTCGTCGAGAAAGTTAGACCAATATGGCTCAAGGTTTCACTTAGCTGGATGTTAAAATTAGCCATGATGATGGAAGACAAAAATCGGTCTCACAGTTAATTAATATAGAGCATTTTAGTTTTGGAGACGTTAAAAGTAACAAGCCATCCATTGCCCGGTTTAACATTATACTGAATTCATTTTTATCAACAGGGGTAAATGGATGTATTATTAGCATAGATATCAAGTTGAGAGTTGATGTCATCGGGAAAATCGTGAACGAAAATTAAAAACACATCAGGAACTACAATGGAGCCTTGCAAAAATCCTGCCTTAATATAAAATGGTGTAGAGGAGTGGCCGTTCATGATAACTTTCATTTCAAGATTTGATAAGAACAGCTGGATTAAAACATTTGGCCGGAGACACCATACCTTTGTGAAGAAGACCTGTATGTCAAACTCTGTTGAAGGATTTCGAGATGTCCAAACCCGAGCTTCATCAGTCTTATCTCAAGATTAAGATACTGTTTCCGCAATAATTATCAGTACATCAGCAGTTAACCTAGACAAAAGAAAACCATTTTGCTTATCTGAAAGAAGGAGTTAGCAAAGAATAATCACGAATCAATTAACTAGTGAGTTCGATCATCAACACTTTTTCCTATCTGTCTATATTTCTGAGATGAGGTGTTATGTACACTTTTTACAATTTTCGGGCTATTGTCCTCATCTTTGTCGAACTGAACCCTTTATTTCGCTCACTGGGGATGTCAGTTATCAGTTATCTCCTGTTAATTCCCCTCCCCAATTTCTCCACTGCCTTAACAGGGTATTGAAATCACACTGACACTGGATCTGACCAACGCCTTTATCCACTGTGCCATGTGTCCTTGAGGATATCTCTGTATTTCTGGGTATTATCAACCTAATGTCTTCAGCAATCATTTTTTACCAGAGCTCATATTGCAATTTTTGTTGTTATTATCGCTTTTCTCTGGCACTCCTTATTACTGGTTCTTATGTTGTATTCATTTCTATGCTTGGTCGGCACAGGAGATTTTTGTAGACTTAAAGAAGCAGCACATATACTAGACTACAAAAATGATAACTGACATCCATTAAACATGGCACGTGGAACTAGAACAGTTTACCCCAATGAGCGAAATAAAGGGATCAGTTCGACATTCCAACCACCTGAAAAATGCGGAAACGTTGTAATATTTATGGCGACAAAGATGAGGACAATAGTCCGAATAATGCAAATAGTGAACGATTTCACTAATTGTCATTCACTTGTACTGTACTAATTTAAATATAGCAAGAAACTACATTATGAATTCTTGCCAATATAAATTCAAATAAACTTCCTTATATACATATACAAGATTACTTAAAATATTCAGATAAATTTCCTTGATGCACTTGAATTAAATTCGCCTTTTAATCAAATGCTGGCGCGAGTAATCAAAGTTTTCTCTCTATGTTTATATGTGTGAACAAAATATATCTTCGAGGGACAATTGAAGGCAATAAATAAAACAGAATTTTAAAATATGACAACTCAAAATGTTTCTAACTTTTATTTTCTGAGTGGTGTATCTTTTATATTACTGCGATCGCCTCAACCATAATGTGTTGGGCCGATAAAATCGACCGGCACTTGAGGACACAACTTACTTTTGACAAATAATAAAACAGAAAAATAGATCGCTATAATGTTAAAAAAATGTTTAAATTAATTTATCTGAGTGTTTATTTTCGTTGGCAGTATTTTACTTCACGTACGAAGGCGTCCATTTTTAGACAGAAGCGATCGTTTTTATTCCTATAGTTGTCGAGTGTTAAGACATTGTAAACATGAATTAAAAATGGAAAGTCAGACTCTGAAATGTTTCTTTGTTTTGTTACATAATGTGTTTATATTTGCAATGCAAAATCTCCTGTTACGAAGACAAGAATTGTGGGGATTTACACTTTCTCTGTGTTGGCTTAATGGTTTCATTAATGGTCATTGGTTATCATAATCCATTCTATCACTCGTGTCAGAGTCAAACATAGAAAACTGGCCGGCATCTTGCAAAGTGGACTGCATCTGAAAGACAGCGATTAATAAATGTTGTACTGAATTTATTCTTATTAGTAGCAAAATTTATCTGAGCATCTTTTAAAATCAATGCCAAAAGTCACAAGTTAAGAATATCAAAATTATAAACGCTAATAAACTTTGAAATTCACTTGCAGATTTAACACTTTGAGCTCTGGCCACCGCTTTACCGGTGGTAGAGAAAAATGACTTAATGCCCAGACATCGGTTGAACAGTGGTAGAGAAAAATGGCTTAAGGCCAAGTAACCGGTTAAAGGGTTGGTAAACACGTGTAACTATTTTTATACCTACCGTTAAACATTACATACCAGTTATTTGGTAATTTTGCTCAGGTAGAAGGGTTAAAATCGTTCAGGAATGACTGCAGGCTGTCAACCAGGTCTGTAAAAGGAAAAGGCTTAAATTTTAATATAAGTAATAATTACTTTATTTCGGATTTAATATAGACATTGTTACATCATGTAGAATCGAAAAGCTTTTTAAACA